CCGCTTACGCTAGGCGTTTTTAGTGTAGGTGACAGCATCACGGACCTCATTTTCCAGGAACACCTTCAGCACACCTCGTAGATCAGACCGGAGATACGTTTGACACCGCCACGGCGAGCCAGACGACCGATGGCGGTTATCTCGAAGAACTTTGCGATGACGCTTGGCGCCTCCTTTAACAGACCTTTTCCTCCTTTGCCACGACCAGGCAATTGTTGCTTGTTGGATGTAGAAGATAAAACTAGCCATTGCCTTCCTACTGCTGATATTGCTGACCACCGCTAGTCAGCAGCGCGGTTTTATATCTTTTCAGGTTAAATCAGAATGCTGTGCAACCAAGTGGTATAACAGCTACAAAGACTCCTCCCATTATGAGTAGTTTGCTATCATAACACTGATACTGACACTGGCTCTTTTCCTTTTGCGTAGTTTGCCAATGGCAACACCTTGAAAGTTAGCGGCGCCGGTGGTGTAGTGGTAAGCGTGATTACCTCTCACCCCAGCAGGCCTGGGTTCAATCTCAGTCGGCGTCACTGGCATGTTCTAAGGCATGACATCTCTGATCACGCCTTCCTTCGGGAAGTAAAGCCGTTGGTCCTCAGTTGAGTTGATGGGCCGATAGGTAGGTTCCAGGTGTGGGAGCTGTCTCCCTGGTGTCGGTGGCATTGGTGCTCAGCACGAAAAAAAAAATCTCGCGTCACTTTTCAATAACTTCTTTTCTTCTCTCTCTTTCGTAAATAACTTGGCATCAAAAGTGTTTCCTGCCGTCTTCGTCGAATTTGAAGCTAGATTGTGGCGATTCAAAGAGAAAGTTGATGAAGAGAATCGATCAAAATCATTTGTTTTCCTGCTTCCAAGTTTGGTTACATGAGCATTTTGTGTGGTCGTTGGGGGCGTGTGGTTCTGAATATGGAAAAACAGGCAGATGAATTATATTCCTACTCTTTACTGTAATAAGCTGGTGATGATTTAACCTCCGAAACCGTACAGAGTGCGTCGCTGTCGCTTCAAAGTGTAGATGACATCCATGGCCGCTTACGCTTGGCGTGTTTAGTGTAGGTGTAGGCATCACAGACCTCATTTTCCAGGAACACCTTCAGCACACCTCGTAGACCGGAGATACGTTTGACACCGGCACGGCAAGCCAGACGACGGATGGTGGTTATCTCAAAGAACTTTGCGATGACGCTTGGCACCGCCTTTACCAGACCTTTTCCTCCTTTGCCACGACCAGTCAATTGTGAGGTGTGAAGGAGTGGACTAGCCACCACCTTCCTACTGCTGCTATTGCTGTTCACCACGCCGTTCGAAGTGAAAGTGAGCCATACAGCAGCGCTCATTTATATCTTTTCAGGTTAAAGCAGAATGACGTGCAACCAAGTGGTACTCGATTATGAGGACTGGGTTTGGGAAGAACGTTTATTTCATGAAAACAGTGATAAAATTATCACTTTTTATTTGTTCATTGGACAATGCTTGACATTACCACTTTTTCACAAGCTTCACGTTAAAAATCATCAGTCGAAAGCAAAGCTATAGATGCTTAGAAAGATCTCTGATCGATTGTTCATAAAATTATTTAAATTGGTCCAGGAGCAGCTGAGTTATTAATGTTCAAAATCTTTCATAATTTTGTTTCATGTTCCATTTTTGGTTTTCGCAAAGTGTACCCTCAGTATAGAAATGAAAGACGTAGTCCTACGTCAAAAAAACTTGCTGACGAAATTGGATGAATCTCACAGCGACTTACGATCAGTAGCGAAGCGGTTTATTCCTCCTTCTTCGGTGAATGGACGCTCATGTGGGCTGCAGCTCGCTGCTTTCGGGCAGCCTTTGCTTGTGTATTGGAGAACAATGTTCAACGCCACGCGCCAAAAGCACTGCTGCTGCTCAAGGGTGTAGCCAAGTTTCAAATAGGAGGGGACATTCAGCGGTAGCATCAACGCGACTATTAAATAGGGGGGGGGGGGGGGTTCAGATCTACTGGCAGCAATGGATCATCAGCAGAATGTACTACAGAAGCTACGGCGCTTTCGCCTGGTGGAATGTTAATATTGCACAACAGGATTCGACGACCACGATTCGAATATTGGCAGAAACACACACCTGCTCCATCCTCCTGCCATTGTTCGTATCAATGCGTGAGCTCGCATGTCGTTCGGCAACGGCTATGAGCGCACCACCAATGCAGTGCTTGTCGCTATTGAAAGATGAACGATCACAACGGAAAACGTTGAATGAAATTCCAAAAATCTGCAGCATTATGAGAGACTGAACACCGCTTACTAGTCTAGCAGTCAGCTTTTTTTTAGCCGCTTTTACCTACCAAGTCCAACAAAATCACCAACGAAATCTAAAGATGAGACCGAAGACATTTTGGAGATACGTGAACTAACAAAGGAAGGAGTTCAGCCTCCCTTAGACCATGATTTGAATGGCGAAATTACTTCCCTAGTAGCACGCTTGTCACAAATCAATTGTAGAAACTTATGCTATGATCTCCAGAGCCGCCTCTAAGTCGAAATAATCGATGAATCCGGGTCCGGATGGCATTCCCTTTTTTTTCGAGAGGCATATTGAACATCTGCTCACTCCTATTCGGCATGTGTTTGACTTGTCACCAGTGCTGCAAAATCTCGACAATATACAGTGATATTGACAGTTCTGCTTTGGTCACTCATTTGAGCTAACAGTCATAGTCAAGGCAAACCATGTCAATTGTCAATGACAATGCTGTCAGTGACGAACATGTGTAGATTTTTATATTAACTAAATTTGTAACGAAATTAAATGATTTGAGCAACACAATTACATGGATCCGTTAATGTGAACAAGCATCTACGTCCTGAACTACTTGGATAACAATAATGTGGCACAGAAAGTACGAAATTACACTTTTTGTTACCAGGTGAATCTTTGTCATTGACGAAACAATGAATGAGATTTTGACGAAGGTTTTTTTGAGGATCAAGTCTGTCAGTGACTATGTGACGAACAATTTTGTCAATATCGCGTGAAAGTCTCTCAATGATAATGACAAATCTCAGCACTGCTTGTCATTGACAAGGGTAGTGTTACCGTCCGTATGGAAAATTGTTTTTATGTTTCCCGTAACTAAGAAAGGCGATCGGAAAGACGTTAACAACTATCGTGGAATCTCGTTATTGTGTGTCATCTCTAAGCTGTTTGAGCTAGTCGTGATGAATCCGCTGCTGTCTCATTACAAGCAGCACCTGAGTGATGATCAACATAGATTTATCACAGGTAGGTCAATCACCACTTATCTTCTGTGCCTTACGTCTTACGTTACTGATAGTTTAACTGAAAGAGCACCAACAGACGTCATCTACACCGATTTATCTGCGGCCTTCGAAACATTCAACCACGATTTAACGATAGCTAAATTGAATAGACTCGGCGTTAGTCTAGGAGGAGGAGGAGGAGCTTTTGTTTACTTCTTCCATATTCCTGCCGCCACTTATTCGAGTTGAGGGCTGGCTAAACTCGCAGGACAAGAGTGTTTTAAAACCTCCAGTGAGTTTGAAGAGTTTCAGCAAGCCTGCTGCAGAAAGAACTCGACACGTTCATGGCTTGGGCACTTTAAATCGAATGATCGTTAATCCTGAAAAATGTTCTGTTATCTCCTTTGCTCTGATTCATGGACCACTCGTCTACGATTACAAGCTTCAAGATACCGTTATTCAGCGCGTGGACCATGTGAAGGACCTTGAAGTCGTTCTGGATACTTAACTAACGTTCAAGCATAATGTTTCTTACGTTGTTGAGAAGGCATTCATCTTCCGTGTCGCCAAGGATTTTACCAGTGAGTACTGTTTAAAGTAATTGTACTGCTCTTTGGTCCGTTCAACTGCTCTGCTGTTTGACATCCGTACTATCAGAACGGTTAGGAGAGGATTGCAGCTTTTCTACGCCGCTTCACTAAAGAAGTCGAAGTCAGTTTCAGAAGCCGATGTCAGTTAATTCACTTGGAAATGCTTCAGTCACGCATGCACATCGCTAGGGCTATGGTTGTAGCGAACACGTTCCAAGGAAGAATCGACTGCCCTGCTATTCTTGAGTCGGTTGACTTGAACGTTCGTCATAGTTCATGGAGAAACAATGCGATACTGAGGCTACCTTTCAGATTTATATCGCTGTGAAGCAACTGAGAATTGTAGAAGGAATCTATATCTGTAACTGTAACCAGTTTGTGTTTGTATGCTAATCTGGTTAAGATTTTCTTCTCTTGATTTGTTTTCCGTCGATCTTGTTTTTCGTGCTAAGCACCAATGGTACCGACGCCAAGGAGTCAGCTCCCACACCATGACCATGAGCTGTTTCTCGTTTCCCGGAAAGCCAAAAATGGCCGGTAAATTGGAAATACTAACCCCATTTAACCCGGTTGATTAATTGATGCTTTCACGAACGAATACTGCATGCTGCTTCACAATTGCAGTTAGGAGTAGTAGCAGTTCATGGGTGGATTCCCGTCATCTCAGTAACACCTTTTCAAGTCCGCTCAAGAAAATAGGAGTAGATAAATTTGGCGCTGTCTACATCCGACCTGTCTCAAGACGAACTGCAGTGAAGAATACGTCAACTTGTTCAATTGCCTCTGTACCTTGGCGATACAGCTGGAACTGGTCTTAGATCTTTCCACGGATTGTTTCTAGTAGGCATTTTTATATTAATCCATTTATTGATCAAGGCTCAAATGCAGTTCTGGTTCTTCTGGTTTAAAACCTATAAAGACAAAGGATTAAATACGGTTCTGGTTCTGGTTCTGGTATGCATGGAATTCGAATATGTTGCTCTCAGTAATCGTGAAGAAGGTTTTCTTAAGCGTTTATTTTTTTATTTTCTCTAGATCGATACAAAATTTTAAAGTACATCTACCTATCATTTATTCAGCGTCCTCTTTACTACTCGAACATCGATGAAAAAGAATCCCTACATCATTCAGCACTGCCAAAAATTTCACTCTTAGTAGAACTTTATAACAGAATTCCTCAAACAGATAAATATAAATAATTTACTAAATGCTAATGCCTTAACCTAACACTTGCAATATTTAATGTTAGTAGCTCTTCTTAGGTTTTTAATGTATTCTATTTAATTTTTGGTTTTTGAGATTAATAGCTTTCTTCTTCAACACTCACTTCTGAGCGCCTCCTTCTACCCTTCGCTTCCGTCTATACTTCATCAAACTTAGGTTCCGTTGCTTGTAGTTGATTTGACTTCCCCCCTGGCCGTTGTTGTTGATGTTGTAATTATTCTCACCGTATCGGACACCGTTTCCATGGCTATTGTAGCTGTACGGTTGATCGTAGCTCGAACTCACACTGTAATCGGTCGATGTACTGGGCTCATAGCCAGCATAGCCGTTGGTATCCGCGCTTACTTCGCCTCGATTCCAACCGGTCCAGCCATCCCAACCTTCTCGGCGGATGTACTGCAAATCGTTCACATCGAAGAAGTTGTCCTCCGAACCTTCCGGTAGGGAGTCCAGATACGTAGTTGGTGTCGTTAGGTCATAGTTGAACTGAGTGCTTTCGTATCCCAGCGGGATGTACTTTCCGCCAAAGTCTTCCATCTGCTGGTGGGTGTGCTTGATCAGCGATCCCGATCCATAGTGGTTAAAGCTGTGCTGGGGTTTCAGGGTTGGATGGATTTGATTTGACTGAAATTTTGTTTTGGATTTTCCCTGGACCTTATTTAGTTGGATCTTTTTGTGGAAGCCGGTTTCCTTTCGAATTGGGATGTGAACTACCTCCAGTTTACTGCTTTCACTCTTGTCGCTGCTGTGTTGTTGACTGAACATGAGCTTTAGGGCGATCAGTGACGATACCAGCAAGGATTTCTTGCTTAAAAGAAGAGAAAGCGCCGTAGCCAAGACCAACTTCTTCAGGATAAAATGCAGGAGAATTGCTTTCAGAGCCAAAATTCCAAGACCGATTGGGACCGCTTTCTTCATGTGCTTCTTCCAACCTTTGTGCTTCTTTCGTTTCTTTCTGTTCTTCTTACCCTTCTTCTTCTTTCCTTTCTTGCCACCACTGTCCTCTTCGTGCACTTCGTAGTACACTTCATGGCCGTGTCCGCCGCCTCCACCGCCAGCTACAACAATGTTGTTGTTGTTGCTGTCACTTCCACCTCCTTTCTTGCGGCCTGCAATGGAAAAGATGGGAAACACTTTCGATTAATTTTGCGGTAGTTTACAATATTGATACGTGATTGCTGCTTCATAAGTTTTATTGCTGAAACTAAAAAACGTAATAGGGAAAATGGCTCTAATGTTTGCCTATGGATCTAAGATTGAGCCTATCGCTAGAAATCTTCTATTTAGGGGCTGTTCATAATCTATGCAGCCCGATTTTAAAAGGTTTTTGACACCCCCTTCCACCGCATAGACAATCGTCCATACATTGTTTAGAAAATTTGTATGAACCGTAGATATTAGTGAACCCCCATACCCCCAACCCCCTGAAGAGTCTACGTAGTTTATGAACAGCCCCTTATCAATTTTATCTAGTTGAACGCGTCATTAGGACGGTACTACGGTTGGTTACGATTGAAAATTTAGTCGATTGCTGATTTTATGCATGGGCCCAAATTAGGGGCATTTAGACCGACATTACATCCATTTCCCCTATCGAAAATACTTTATTGAGAATTTATGAATAAAGGGTTTGCATATCGTGTTCGAATGTTAGAGATCCTAAGGAATTGAATGAGTATTGGATAAATTTCCAAATGTCTGGACTTTAACTTGTGTTGTTGATCAATGGCTTCAAATATCATGATTAAGCTTTCGGAGGGAAAATACGTAGACAATCACCAGTGCACAGTGGAAAAAACGAGCCCGAATTTCCTTAGTTGAGATGCCGCTGGATTTCAAGCGAGAACAGAAGCTTTCCTTATCAGAAATTTGCCAATAAATCGATTGGTGTAGGTTTCATCTTGTGCAGAGCCCAGGAAGTGGCCAATTTTGCCCCATTTCACCCTAAATATGTGTATTTTTGAGTTGATATTCATATAGAAAGAATTTCCGCTAAATTTTTTGACTGGAAATCCAAGCATGTCCTACGTAAAAAAACATGGGTATTCGAATGGTGCTGATTTCATTTAATGCCGAGCCCGGTAAGTGGTCCATCTCAAGAATTTAAAGGAGTTCCTTCCTCAGCCAAGTCAGAGTCAGATTCGTCATCTTATAAAAGAGCAAAGGGATTTTTGTCGTCGATCGACGGCGTGACTGTCTTAGGCATTTCTGTAAAAGACTGCCTGGAACGTTCCTTAGGAGAGCGTTGTAGTTCCTCCCCGCGTTGTTTGTATGCCGGGCACGACGAGCGACCATGAGGAGTTCCCTTACAGTACATGTATTTTGGTGCAGTGACTGTGTAGGCGCCATTATCGTGCTTCTTCCCGCATTTGGAGCAGCGTTCCTTGCTGCCACAGTGAGAGACCGAATCTCCAACTGTTTTGGCAGTTGGGAACCAAGGAACAAACAATTGCACAGATAGCCGAAGTTTTCCCAACTCGATGTAGTGAGAAAGGGCTGAACCAGCGGCGCCGGTGGTGTAGTGGTATGCGTGATTACCTCTCACCCCAGCAGGCCTGGGTTTAATCGACTTGATGGGTCGATAGGTAGGGTCCAGGTGTGGGAGCTGCCTTCCTGGCGTCGGTAGCATTGGTGCTCAGCACGGAAAACAAGATCAATGAAAACAAACCAAGGAAAAAAAAGGGTGTCACCCGAAACGAGTCTGCTCTGTTTACCCTCGCTGAAAGATACTGAGCCCAGTTTCTGGACTTCCGATATCTGAACCGTTGGAAGCAAGGGGTTCTTGAAACGGTCAACCGCTCGGAGTCAGACTCGCTTCAGTGATCACACCTTCGATCTCCACATCACGAGCTGGGATGTACACTCTCTATACTTGAGCATAAAGAGCTGGGAGGCAACAATCTCGACTACACGTTTATTGCACCTAACCTTCGAGGTTTCGGTCACGATCGAGAATCGCTTCGTCAGATCATTAGTAATTTGCATTACATTCAAAGGTTTCTTTTTGGGCTGAAAGTAGACAACCTATGGGCCAGTCGAGCCGAGGGGTAGGCGATCGGGAGCTTTTCTGAGCCTGCCCAGACGAACCAGGGATGGCATCATCCGATATCTGCTGTGATAGACGTTTGCTACCCTTCTTGCCATCGGGTGGCAAAGTGGTGTCATCTTCCGACAAAACGTTCATACCGCCTTCCGACCAAATGTCCATTTTGCCGTACTAGTGGGAACGCAAAACGCTTTACCACTCAAAGGTTATTCAAAATTACACGGACACAATACACAGAAAAAAAAAACTATAAATCTAGATAGAGCTGGAATTAGGGCCTAACAGTTTTTGTAAGCAATGACTTCTCTTGATGATTTCTAGAAATTTGAGGCTCGCCCATGCAAACCAACATCCTCATCGGGTAGGGAAAGACTTCCCCTATAGAAGTCATTGTTTACAAAAGCTGTTACGCCCTAATTCCTGCTCTATCTAGAAATACAGAAACACAAGCTTAAAATTTAACTGATGGGCGAGAGAATGAAACAAGAACAAAAACTTACAGCTATCCTCCGAAGAACGCGTTACCCACTGAGTTGCACCCACCGCTTTTTCTCGGCGGGGTTTCAACCAGTCGCGATTTTTTGCATGTCTGATTTTTTACATGTGAGTAGTACAAATGGAGAACTAGTCACTCGCAGAAAATCAGACCGCTTGGTTGAAAACCCACCGAGACAAAGCGGTGGGTAGAACTCAGTGGGTAACGCGTTCTTCGGGGGAAAGCTGTATATGATAATCCTATTCTACTACCATTGAGCGTTTACACAGCTGCAGCAGAGCGATGCGCAGCGTGGATGATCTTCGATCGGCGTGTGTGGGCGTTCTTCGTTGGTGTGTACTAGAAATACTCAGAGGGAGAGATAGGCGGAGAGAATGTTTTGAGTCAAATGAACTGTCAAAATCTGAGCCAATCGAACATTCCCATTAGAATTTGTCCGAGTATTTCTTATTCTTACTAAATTAAATTTAAGAGCATTGCAATCGATCAGGAATTCAATCACCTTTATGTTTCATGTGCTTCTAAAATTCAACTAGTTTTTGGAATCAAAAACAATATTCTAACTCTATTAATTAATTGATCTTAGTTGGTTAACTAATAGCACCAAGAAATGTGCAAAATATTGCGACGCAATTAATTATTACTTTGCATGTAAATCGAATCAAAAATAAAAGTCATGTGAAATGCTGGCTTCTAGCAAGGGTTGCAAGATAATTTAGGTACAAATCCCTGCTGCCGAATTATATTTTGTTTTCTCCGCCTATCTCTCTCTCTGAGTATTTCTAGTGTGTACTTATATGAGGCCCGGCACCCAGCTGTACACACGATGATGGATGAGCGATGTAAAGGCGGAAGCAGATGCTGACACTCGATGACGATGATCCGTGTGCAGGTAATTGGTTGGCAAATTGCCATTTGCAGAAAAACAATTTTACTTCCGATGATGCTAAAACTACACTGAGCAATTCCCTACGAATTCGCAAAACGGTTTATTTTTGTATTTTTTTTTATTTGGTTGAACATTTGCGGATACGTTTCTTATGACCAACAATGCCATTTTGCATCTTAATATCGCCGTTTTGATTTCAGCCTTATTTTTTAAAAGGGCATATAGAAAAATATCAAGCTTATCTTCAGAATTTTTTTACTCAAAAACTGTTTGTCCGATCGGATTGGTGTCTTGGACAATATTGCAGGTATTAGATGAAACTGTATAAAAAAATATGCACTCTAAAACTTTTTTAAATTTTAAATAAAGTCTTAAAAACAATTTTTATCATAAAATGATATTTTGTGTTTTTTTTATTTGCTGATGTATGTTAAGAGACAAAAATGCCATCTTTTGCACTATAGGTTAAGATGGAGAATTGATGGACAAAAAAGTTATGATTTAAAAAAAAAAACTCAAGTTTTTGAAAAAATATCTAAAACTTGGTCCAATTACTGTTTCGACTTTATTTAATGAAAGAACACCAAATTAACAATAAAAAAGAATCTGAGTACCGCACCGCTTTCGAGATGTAGCGGTTTTAAAGTAGATATTTTCAAAATGTTGGTAGTTATGGCCAGTTTAATGTATGTTCTCTAGTTCCGAAAATATTTTTTTTCGACCGATAAGAAAATTTTACAATAAAAATGCTCTTGGTGGCTCATCGATATGATAAAACAATTTATTTTATTGTAAATGCATATTTCGCTCGTTAGCAAATGCAAAAAATCTTATAATTGCAATTTTTCGTGAAGGATTTTATTTATTTTTACATTGTTAGATTGATATAGTTGTAATAGAAATCCTTACCTTAATTCTTAGTAATATCAACTATTTTCTTTTCAGTATTACAGTTTGAAAAGTGTCTGACTTCTATTTTTCTTTTAGAAATAGGAATAAATGAATGGTATTTTTGAGTTCCTTGAATGGTTATAGCCCTTGAGTATTGTTTGTTGAGCTCAATAGTTCAATATTGACGCTTTGCGAATATTCACCAACATTAGAGTCGATTGTTTCTACCGATGGTATTGATGGTACAGTTACTAAAGATTCCTGACGTGAAACATTCATGTTGATATCTTGTTCATCGCAGTTCGATAACTCATCGCTACTTGATAGTTCGGTACGTTTAGAAAGCTGTATACGACAAGAATCACAAATTTTTAATTTACCGTTAAGTTGGTTCTGTTCCGCAAAACCCAGATCAACCAATTTCTGTAAATTAGTATCCGTGAGATTTCGGCAATTTTTCGAGCAACTTTTTTTTTAAACACATGTATACACTTTTAATGAAAAGTATTCATTTTAACTACCACTTCGTCTTCTGCATTACTGAACTTAAGCAGGTCACTTTCACAGATACACAGCAAATTATATTCTAATGTTGATTACGTGTCAGATTTGGCTTATATATGGACGTAGGTAATTCAAAACCAAACCACTTGGTACCATGAATTGCTTAGCAATAGGTAGCATGTGAGCATTTTAGCAACAAGTTTATACCTATGAGGTGAATGAAAAAAGGTTGGATTGTTTTACTTTTATATTTTAGATGACACACCCCTCACCATCCCTCTCC